ATTCTTCTGACACGTCTGTTTTTTGAGACGGTGAGTCATGGAGGATGTTGCGTCAGTTATTATATGGGATAAAACGAGGTACGGTCGAGGCCAAAGCTCATTTTCATCTGTTGAGTTGGGCCATTATTGGGCCGATACTGTATCCTGAAGTCTAATCTCGGCATATGTGTGTGAGGCACCAGCTGAAACTTTAGACCATTTATACCAGACTTAATGGAACACTTACATATGTATTTACAGTGTGTTCTTTCAGTTCTGTTTTTTACCCTTTTGCCATTTTTAAATATTATCTCAATGTATTGTAAAATAAGTCAAAAAAAGGGTCATAAAAATCATAAAATGTCTTGCTGTTTCTCAATAAAGTAGCCACAGATTAACTAATTTTTGGCTGCAAAATCACGAATAATCTGCAACATCTTGGTGGGACCGAATAAGACGTGCTGAGGGGAATCAGCAATTTGATGACTTATTTCATATCTCAGATAAGTGATAGAATTATTTCATGTGTTGTTTGCCTGCCTGCTGAGGTGTTACTGTCAGTCTGGCTGTATCCAACTCGTGGCTGTCAGTATATATAAAGATTTGTCGTGTAATTTTGGGCACATTCTTTGGTCTTTGTTTTTTTTTTTTTAGGGCAAAATAGGAGCAATTACATGAAGAGTAGCGCACACATTTCCAGTGTTTACGCAAAGCCAGAGCAATGATCTAAGATCATAGTTGTCAGAACAAATAATAGATTGGTGCAAATGGATCTGTTGCTCAATAGAACAAGCTATTCAGTCCAATAATACCAAGCCAACAGAGACAGACCTGTGACTCCAGGGATTGTCTAGAATTGCATTTCAGAAATGCTGATATAGTTAATTTAGACAGGTAGTGCACCAAGTCCCAAAAATTCTTACCAAAACAGCAACTCATTAAAGTTTTGGAAATGTGGGCCACTTTTACGGCACCTTTTTCCCCTCTCAGTCCCTAGCTCATGTTGCAAGCAATTAGGAGGGCAAACATCAAATTTGGCTTCAAATCTAGAAGCCAACAGTATTTTATCCTGACTATGTTACATTACAAGGACTTATTTGGGTATTTGGCAAGGCACTGTAACACTGCTGCAGATACTAATATCTTTAGTGTCATTTTGGGAGTCATTTCAACATCAACCTGATCCACTCTCACTTGTCAAAGGCAGTGGGGGCTGTATGCAAAACTCTGATTGGGCTCAACCAAACCTTACTCTCTTAAGCTGGTAACCACCACGTTAACTGTCTCATGCTTTGTGTGATCTGCCTGGCTCAGGCTCAGAGGGATGTGTTGTTTTGCAGGCATCAAGATAATTAAGTGGTCACAGTCTAGCTTTCCTGGAAGTTAGTGAGACTCTTTTCTATTCTCACATCTTTTTTTTTTTTTCCTTACTGGCAACTATCACACTAACAGCTTTGGAGCGGCTGTAAAGAAGACGTGTATACTTAATGAGCAAGAGTAAAAATGACTTAATTCTTTTTTTTTTTTTTTTAGTGATGTAGCTCATCTTACTGAACTGAATGTCAAGGCAGTGCTTAATTAAGTTAACAGTGACATTTGTTATTGTGTCAGCCAGATCGCATCTGTTTAATGTCATAATTCATAAGTCCAAAACATCTGCAGCCAAACGTAGAGATTTCACCTTCTGAACTCACTTGTCAAACAGATTAACATCTGCACACAACTTGCCAAAAGGTTATAATGAGTCCATATTAAATACTGACAGTCACTTATTGTCAGTGATATGTGCAATGCCAAAAAACAAATATAGAAAAAGTAAGGAATAGTCTTCTACTCTCAGATTTACAGCCACAGGGTCACCAGTGGAAGTGGAGCTGGAGCAGAGTGGTGCAGAGCTCTCCTCCTCCCTCCTGGCCTCCTTTGCCTCCCCTGCTCCCACCTTTTTTCTTTTTTTTTTGCTCTCTGTTACTGTATATGGGTCATACTGCGATTGTGTGTACAACGCTGGTAAATATGTTCTCTTTTCCAGTGAGCATATGGAAAGAAGTACTCAAACCTTCACCTTTAAGTACAAGTAGCAAAACAGTGGAACAATGCTGCATTTAAAGTGAAGGTCACGCGTTTAAACTTACCATAACTTCCGTAAATGTATAAGTATTACATCTAAATGTATGTGTGTGTCAAAAGGGCACTCACTGATCGATATATTAACCCGTAAAACTTTTTTTTTTAATGTTTCAGAAACTAACAAAAGTGTTGATGTTTGACTTCAAACTAGAGACTTAAGGTGTCACTGAAAAGTTCATGCAGTTTTGAAGTACTATGAACTGAGGAACTATTCTCTGCAACACTCTTTTCACATCTGTTATCTGTGTGCATACATGTGTGTGTGTCTGTGCATGAATAGCCTAAGCCCTAAGTAATCATTTACACTATAGAATGCAGTATGCTTTGTTTAAGGGTTTTGGCCATGTGGTGCGGTTCCTCCCTGAAGTATATGTTGCAATATAATTACTGCAACTTTACTCAGTTATAGTATATATAATTATTATATAAGAAAATATGTAGTGGTTCTCGCAATATTGTAATCAACTAGAAAATAACTAAAATTATTGCAACTTTGCCATAACAAACTGAATCACAGTGCTAGGTTGATATAACCATCAGTGTGTGATATTCTTTTACTAAAAATAGACCATGAAAACAAGACAAATTTTCTATCTTTTACAAAACATATTTGTTTTACCAGTCACAGAAAATCATAATCTTTGTACATGTGTATAAGTGTGTGCTTGTTCCCATTAGTTTACCTGCGCCCCCAATGAGAAGTCACCACAATCTCAGTCCAAGCAGGAAGGCAGGATGTTTTTGATGAAGCAGTGGGCTTAATTTAGGTCCAAGCATTCTCAGTATCTGTCACCTAACTCCCAGCGATCTCAACACGCATTACAGGAGGCGTTTGTGTGTGTGTGCTCATGTTTATCCAGGCGGGCGGGTTATAAATTCAAGAAATGTACACCGACACTTTGCCACGCTAAAAAGACTAGAATACCTCCCAAATGTAAAGAGGTAGCCATCTTTCTTTCTGACTTGGTGAATAATAATAATAATAATAATAATAATTGCAGCTTTACAAGAAACTATTAAGATATGATGTCTCTTTGATAGAATTTTATAATGAATTATTAATTCTGGCTATTAAAAAAATAATCCCATTAACCCTGCCAAACACCCCAAATCTTGATTTATTTTTCTAAAGAAATTGGCTTAGTTATAGCTCCTGCTTGGCCATAAAATAACCAAACAGGCGTATGCACTGCCAGCAAACCAGCAAAAGCAAAAGCTGAATGCCAACAACCTCTGCCAAAGACTTTAGCTTGCACCCACTGTTCTCTTACTGGTACATGAAATCTTCTGCCTACTTCTTTGAATTACAGGCTTTGTATGCCTGTTTGAAAAAATCTTTTTATTCATAACACTTAAGGATGAGCATACACAGTTGTAAAACAGCGACAGTACATACCGCCTAACGTAATTAACAAGAACCTACATTTTCAAGTCCTTGCTGTCTAAGCCCGAGGTGTAATCCGTGTTTGATGAGCACATGTGTAAGTTGAAAGGAGCAATGAGGTTTTTATTTTTGTTAAAAGGCCCGTAAGAGAGAATCTGGCGACGCTCTGACCTCGAGCTTGTCGTCATTTTAATGTTTAATGAACGTGCTCTGACTCGTCAAGTGACTGCTGAAAGGAGAGGTGTGTGGTCGTCGTGCATCCGTAACGAGTGGAAAGAAAGGAAGACCACACAGCAGTACGGTCAGATCAGGTTGTCGGAGACCATATTTAAAATCTGGGTCAGAGTCCAAGGTGTAACCTCTCTCTCACTCACCATTGCTCAACACTCCCTCCTCTGCACCCCATTTCTCCGTCATCTCATCCCACTACAACTCTTTGTCTTTTCTCCTTGTCCACGCACTTTACAGCTTTATCTCTTCACCCACTTTACATATCCACATCTTTAATTCTTTCACTCGTTCTACCTTCCTCTCCCCTCCTTGTCTTTCTTTCTCTCCACAGACAGCATCTTCAGATTAAAATTATATTAGTTGGATTTTAAATAAACAAAATATGTCACTTTTAATTTGAATTGTTGAGAATACGGTGGTGGATTTTGAACTATTGCTCTTCTCCCATGAGGAATTAAGAAAATTGGAGGCTGGTGTAAGGAACAGCCATATGATTCATATGCAGGTCCAGTGGCAGCCAGACGGGTTTCGAGTGTAGAAAGTCTATTCAATTCTACTTAATAACTTTGCTTGCGCAACTATTGCTGCAGTACTTACACAGGACTTCAAATTCAGGTACTTCTTTTATATGGTCAAACAAGTCAAAACAAAAAAATAAAATGAATTGGAAAGTGGGGTAATGAACTTGAACATTTTGGGAATTAGGCATGATAGAATTGAAAATTGATGTTAGTTTCATCTCTGCATTTCTTCATTTCAGTCTAAGCACAGATATTGGAAGCATGGGGGGAAAAGTTAGCATCTGTTAAAAGAAAGAAAAAAACTACCAGCAGTGGTTGTTGGTTACTAAATAGGTCCAAAAGCTGCTTTTTTCCCCTCAGTGTAAAACATGGATACAGTGTATGCAGTTGCTGGAATGCATGGCGTTAGTAGTAAGATACAGAGATTACAATGTTTAGCCTAACTCCTGGTAAAACATCACACAAGTTTATTTGCTAAAGTGCTGGCGTATTCATTTAAGCCATGAAAAACCACTCAAGTCCTTCAGATAGTCTGCATAGGATTTTGGGAAATGCAATGTATTGCTGTTTGGAAACCATTAAAGAGCCAGTGACAGAGTTTGATTTAAGATTTAAGAGGTGCCACGCTGATGCTTACTCTCTATGACAGGCCTGGGAGGCCTGCAGCAACTGTTACAGTGTTCTTGCTACCATTCATCATGGGAAAATGGCAAACACTGTGCAAATCAACTGGCATAAATGTCCATGCTTCTTTTCAGCTCGGTGGCTCAGAACCTATTGTGGAGCTAACCTGGCTGCCAACAATAAGACATGATGACATTGTCCTGTTTTCACGCTGGAGGCCTCCCAGTAAGGAGTTCACTTCGATACCTCTTCAGTGTGACATGGAAACGGTCCTGCAGCCACCAGCGGAGCCGAGCTGAGCTGCAGAGCTTTAGAGCCCTGCTGAGACCTGCCAGACCCACAGCTTTCCCTGCCAGGGGCCTCGGCTCGCAGTCAGAGTGAGTTACAACCCATGCCCCTGACACACACGCTAGTACATGCACACACATACAGATAGCTTAAACATGTACAGTGTGTTGGCATGCAGGAGCACACGTACAGTAGATGGAGCATATAGTGGAGAACTATAAACTGATACACACAAAGAGAAACAAATACTGTCTGTAAAAATGCAGACAAATGCAAATATGTGCACACATGTAAGTGAATAGTGAGTGTAGCTCCACTGGACCGGTTAATACATGGTGATGGCCATTGCATGGACGGTTACTTATGTCCCTAACTTTTTTATTCAAGTCACACACACACACAGATAGGATATATGTAAACAAAACATGCTTGCACACATAGTAATGTGAGCATGTCCTCTTACAGGAGCTCTATCTGTCAGGGTTAGTTTGAGGTCAAGGTCCGGCAGCTGCTGGATCAGATGGATTGATCTGTCTGGGTAAACATGTGAAGTGAAAATGAGCATGGTTACAATTAAGGGATTAGCTGAAGGCATGTGTCTGTGTAAGGCACAGCATCAGTATGGGACAGCACATACTCTGTGTAGAGTAGAGCAATGTACCGATATATCAGCTGCATCGGTGTGTCAGCATGTGCTTCTAAATTAGTCTTTTCTCATCATGGCTCAGATAGGATCACCTATCCTGTCAGCGCTCATGTTTCTTTTTCTTTTCCTTTTTTTAACGGCAAAAAGTACTTCTACATGTAAGCCAATGGATTGTCTGTTCTTAATGATGAGTGCATTTATACTGTACTACAGTTACAAGGTTCCCCATGAGTTGAAAATGTTTCGTGGTGTCAAGCCCTTAAAAATGTATTTAATTCAAAATAAAATTAATTAGTGACAGGGCATTTAGGGCTGTTTTTCTTTGCATATTGAGATTTTCAGAACATTTTGAGTAGTATTTCATAATTTTATTTTTATTGCTTTCCTTTTATCATTGATGTTTTGTTATCTACAATAATACCCATTATTGTCAATCTTTTATTTTTGTCCTAATTGTTGTTATTTTTGGTGGTTATGGTGTTTTAGTCTCAAAATCTATTTTTTACATCCCGTTTTGTCAGTTGCTCGTAAAGCACTTGTTTGAAAGGTTCTATATAAATAAAGTTTGATTGATATATGTGGCTACATTCATACAGCCAGTGTTTGCAGCTGACAACCGTATTTACGGAGGAAAATGAACTGTATTGTGTGTACTGTATTACCGCAGGACACCATTTGTATGAGGAAATGACCACATGGACAAACGTCACCCAACCATGTGTCAACAAATCTCCCCAAAGGCATGATTGCTGGTTCATTGAACATCATTAACAATGTGACTAAAATCATTGACTGCTCCTCGTGCCAGGCAGTATTACCAAAATGTTGTATCATGATATTTTTTAAGATTCTAGTGGTTTTACGGTATATCACGGTATTTAGGGCCTTTATATCGGTTTATGGTGGCTTATTCTACTGTTAGGAATGCATAGAATATAAAAACATTTCAGTGTCATGTATATATTAAAGGAGTTTTCTTGTCCCCACAAAATAATACAATATATGAAGGAATCAGATTGTAAACATTTTTTTATTGTGCAAACTGTAATGTGGTAAATATAAAAATAAAAAAGATCTGCCAACAATACTGCTGCCTTTTATTTCTTTTTATAGTTTTTATAAACACTTTAACCTGACATAATACTCAAAGTATTCAAATATATTTCTCAAATGTTCTATTGCGCAAGAAACAAATGAGTTAGAGGATGCGCTGGTATTCAAATCATACGGGAGATTAAAATGGTTATACTGGTTCATCTGGTATTATCACCCAACTGGAGCTGGTCATTCAATGAACTGGAACTCTTCAATACCAATGTTTTTCAACCAATCCATCATTCGGGAGGTCATCACTGCCTTTGTCGACTGGTGTGAGTTAAACCAGCTTCACATAAAAGCCAGCAAGACCAAGGAGATGGTAGACTAACGCAGGAAAGCGGCCCAGAATAAACCGGTGAACATCCAGGTTGAGACGGTGACAACTTACATATACATGTGTTCACCTCAACAATAAACTGGACTGGTCCAACAACACAGATGTCCTGTACAAGAAGGGGTCAATGTAGTTTTCATCTGCTGAGGAGACTGAGGTCCTTCAGTGTGTGCAGGACGCTGTTAAAATCTTTCTACGACACTGTGGTGGCATCTGCCATCCTCTGTTGGGGAGCTGGAAGCATAGACAGGGACATAAAGACTTAAACTGTTGAAGAGGGCTAGTTCTGTCCTGGACTGCCCTCTACACTCCATAGAGGAGGTGGATGAGAGGAGGCTGTTAGCTGACGTCAATTATGCACAACACCTCTCACCACCTGCGTGAAACTGTGGGGTCCCTGAGGAGCTCCTTCAGCAACAGACTGCTGCACCCTCAGTGCAAGAATGAGCGCCACCGCAGATCATTCATTCCAACAGCTGCAACTCTTATTCTGTTTTTTCTATTTTCATTAGATCTTGTATTTTTGTATTTTACTTATTTTTTCATTTAGTGTGTATTTTCTTATCTGTGCTGTATCTGGAGCTGCTGTAGCGAGTCAATTTCCCCAGTGTGGGATCAATAAAGTTTATTTTATCTTATTTTATTCCAGCATACACAAGTGGCAACTGTTGTAGTTAATGTATGGTTTAATTATGTAATTAAAACCACTTTTTAAAGCTAGGAGAATATTGTAATCACCACCTGGTTTAAGAGAAATGATCAGTTTTAGATATCATAGTCTGTTTAGAGGTGTTGGGGATGACTGCTACACATGTGAAATATGAAATAAACCTTCCCATCCAAACAGAGCTGAAATCTGATTAATTACCTCCATTGATGTCATTTGAGTCAGCATTAGGGTCTGAAGACTACAAGTTTGGAAATGAGAAAAAAAATATAATTGTTTGGAGTTAGGAGCTCAAGACACATTAGCCGCTACTAGCATTGCAGTCAAATCTCAGACTGTTGGCGGTTGAGTTGCATTGTGGATGAAGTAGGCGCCAGGTTTTGACAAAAAAAAAAAAAAGACTGGTTCTGCTGCATCGATTTTGAATTGTCCATTTTAAGTTCAACAAAATTATGAATCAGTGGAGTTTAAGACGAGGGAAAGTTGATGTTTAGAAATTAAAATACATTGTTATGAGGAGGTTCTAGACGGATTGTTTGATCACGGTTCGAGGCCAAAGGTCCAATTTATGACCGAGTGGACCACACTGAGTGTTTGTTCTGTAGGTTTTGGGGTCCTAGGTGGTAGAAGAATCTGAGTTACACATCACTCTTACTTGCCTGGTTTAACCTCGTTATCATTCCCTTTTACAATGGACAAATTTAGCACTCACATGAGGGCTGACAAAACGCTTTTCACTGGCTGTATGAATTTATTTTACAGCAGTATTATATTGTGTGTGAGCGTGAGTAGCTGTAGAGCTTGCGTCTACATTAATCCCAGGAATGTTGATGTGGTTCAGAGTTTGATAGAATGAGGCGTGGGTGAAGTAAGAGTCCACCGGAGCAGAGTTGAGGTCTTAAAGTACTAAAAAGCCTTGACCCAGACCCTACACGCTTACTCACAGAGACACAGCACTTCTTTTCCATCCCAGCACATGCTTTTATACTAGCTATGCATCAAAAAACACGACAAACAAAAGGAAGACAAAAAGGATATGAACTTAAATGAAAAACATTATCGTTTGTTAGATAAAGATGAGCACGAAATGTACCCAGTCACAGACGTTGATGCGTTTCCCATCCACAGCTCAAACAAACGCACATACACAACCAAACACATCCCTGTTGTCTTGTGTTGCTCGTCATGCAATGAGGAGCACATGACTTAAATCGGGTGTGGTGCATGACCTCTTATCGGACAAAAGCGTCCCACAGAGAGAGCTGATGGGGGAGACTGCCTCCCCTCCTCTCGGCAGTCATGAGGTCTCCATCCCGTTCGCCACGCTGTGTCTCGTGGTTCAAAGACCATAAAATGTTGGCGGCGTCTTGTCAATAAATCAGCTGTTTAGCCTGAGGAGAACGGCAGTAACGGGGGGGAGAAAGTGCAAAATACTTATTTTTAAGACATATTTTGCAAGAATGACTCCTTTGAAATTTTTGTCGCGTCCTATTAATGTCTCACCTAGAGGGCCTAATGTTTCTCTGTGAGAATGGTTGGTTTGTAATTCATGCATTCACCCTGAAGCCTCTACATGCTCATGCACTCATGCAGAGCTAAATGCAAATATTCCAATGACAGAAGCGGTATACTCTTTTATCTCATTTACTGATCTCTTTTCAGTGTCTTTGTGATGAGCTCTAATCATCTAATTGTCATAATGATGATGATATCTGTGTGCTAGAGTAATGAGTTGTATGTCTTATATCTTACAGGGATAATTTTTTCACTGTTTCCTCACCATATTGTGGTTTCAGTGACAGGACTAACATCCTAGCAGTACTGATGTTTTCACTGAAACTTTTGCAACAGTTTAGTGACTCAATTAGGATGTACTTAAAATACCACATATTTTAATGTTGCATGGTAGGTTTCATAGGCAGGTAGTTGAAAATGCTTCTGCAGGTGTTAAAATGGCTAATAAACTTAAATAAACTTGTTCCACCACCAGGGCAAGGTATCTTTTTAGAAATCAGTAAAATGGAGGCCAGTGAGGGTTTTAAAAGTTTACTACTGAACGTCCTCTCAGAACGTTGCCTCTTCGCTTCGGTTGATGGCTGACAAAGTGTAACCAAAAGGGTGAAATAAAATTGAGCAGAAAAGTGTGAGGATATCAGTCCCTTGTGCATGTGTTTCTGTGTAAAAGCCAGCTGTCTCATGACAAGGCAGCGTCATTGAGAGGCATTTCCCCCAGGCAACAGGCCACTGTCCACTTAGGGCACAGCAGTATTCTCTAACACAAGCTTACTGGGTTCATCCACTGTCGAGATGTTAAAAGGACTGATTGTCATGTGTACTGCTGATGGCTGTATGAAAATCAAGTAAAAGAAGCTGTGAATCGCAGGCCTGTATATATGTGACCATGGCTAATTGTGGAATGAACTGAAGAATGATGGATTGGGGGATGTAAAGACAGATGCAAAGACAGTTGTCCCCTCAAGTGATGGCTACCTTGAGGAGTCAATTACTTTGATCATCTACACAGTGTTAAAAGCATAAGTGGAGTAAAATCAGGTCTGTAAAATGTTTTATTCTTGGATTATGTATACTAATTATGTGTAATATGTCGAATAAAGATTCTGTTCCAAATTATATTAGACAAGTTGTTGTCTCTGTGTTTTTGGTTCCTGCTATTTAAATTTTATTTTATTTTTTTAAAACAGCTGGGTACTGTATCTTTTTACCAAACATCACTCAAACAGGAGTATACTTGTTGGGGACTCCTTTCAGCCATAGAATAATGCATATATATAGGATGCATATATAGGAATAAGCTATATGTAAGTGTTTTTTAAGGGGATTTCTGCATTAAAAAAACACATTGATCATGTGACTTCTTAATTCATAAATTATACGTGTACATATGCAGTTTATTTAGCTGCTGTTCATGGTAACTGCTATGATGAAGGGCTACAAATATAACATTTGTACCCTGCTCCTCAAAGTTACAGTAAGACATGAAGTATGATTCGTTAATTTGCTCGAGTGCGCGTCACATGAAGGTTTAAGTTTCCCATTTACAATAATTGGTCACAAAATATTTTCATTTCATTCAGAACATCTGCTATGGTTGACAACATTGATGGAACATCTCAAAAATCGTTTACAGTACAACATTTACACACACACACACACAAGCATGTTTGGGGTAGTAGCAGGAAGCTTATGCAGTTCTTGGAAAGAAAAAAATGGTTATCATGCTTCAACTGCTATGTAAAACAGAGAAGTTAGGCCTCCATTCTCAATGCAAAAAAAAATGCAAAGTGACAGATAAAGAAGAACTTCTGAACTCAGTAGGGAGAACAAAATGTGTAAACTTGTTGAGCTCAGCCTGTCTGATGATGTGACGGTCACTCTCACACACAGACACACACACACACACAAACAAACACAGGACTAATGAGTCACACATTCCATGCATATAAAATATGCTGCTCTCTCACAAATGTTTGATAAGTTAGATCATTGTGTTGGACTTTCTGTGGTATGTTACATGCTGCTGTTTGCCAGCACTAAAAAAAAAGTTGACTTGTTTTCCCAGAGAAAGAGGGACGACAGAAATACTTACAACTTTGAGATGTTTTAAAATAGATGCTCTTTAATTGCAGCAGTTTTCAGTACCTTATCTGGTATGTGTTGATATCACTGTTATTCATGTCTGAAGAATCTGTGGTGAGTGTTTGTGCGAGTTCCTGAGGCACAGTTTGGCAAACCACAAAATTCCTTCAAATCCCCCCCCCACCCCCCAAATTATTAACTGCTCTGAACAAAGCAAATTGTAAACTGTTGAAATGTCACATGAAGCCTAGTTTGAATAAAATATAGCGCCGGTGGACAGGGTGTTAACATGTTAATATCTGTCCTTGATCACTTGTTACGAAAGCTCATGCCACACCTGAGCTGTGGGAAAACACCTGTCTAATGAATTTAAAGACAAAAGAAGGGAAAAAAAATATATTTTACCTACCAACTAAGACTTGAAAAGCAGTTTAACTGTGGGAGGTTGATGACATACCCCACCCAAAGAGCTGCATCATGTGGTCCATTCACAAAGCCTATGAGCCCAACCCTGGAGCTGCATCTCATGGCCTACCCATAATGCCTATGAGCCTGACTCAGGAGCTGCATCAGGAGGCCTGGTCTTACAGCCTGTGATCCACACCCTGGAGCTGCACCGGAGGAACTGCTTACATAGTCCAGCGGGACTAGTCTAGGATTTGCAAACACGCAGACACGCCTTATCTGTGCTGCATTTCTGCCAGACACTGAACAGACACTCGCAGATAAAACAGCAAAGGCACAAAGCCAGATGAACTCACACCTACGAACTTTAAATACAGCTCCTCGTATCCTATGTTCAAAACACCCGTTGTTAACAATAACTAAATGTGGTTACAAGGCCAAAATGTCCGCTGTAACTTGTGTGTTTATCATCGGTAAATATACACAGATGTTAGCGTCCAGTGTAGCTCGTGAACAATGCTGGCAGCTCCACACCTTCAGCACAAGGGACACATTAAGAGAAATAGTAGGAGGAACTGGCCCACTCACTCTACAGGCCAGTCCCTAGTGTGTGTAAGTGTGTGTGAGCTCGCACACGTGAGTGTTTTAATGTAAAATGTCCTCATCCTTAAGAGTGGAGTGAAAATCTTACTGCAAGTCACAAGGATTGCAACATGCTGAAAGTCTAAAAGTATAGTATGAAATCAAGAGCTTAAAGACTTCTCAGAAAATGTCACACTATTCAGTTCTACCCAAAGTTCACGTTCAGTTTTGAACTTATCTCAGAATAAGGCCACTTTAGAGCAGCTTCATGTGTGAGTGCATGTGCTAAATTACCTCAGTGTCAAGCATGATGAATTATTGACCATCAAATGTTCTTCTTACTTGCATTAGTCAAGTCCCACAGAGGGAGATGATGTTTCAGATGCAAATAGAGAGAGAGAGGCCACGCTCACTTCGCTGGCATGTTCCATTGCTCAACCTGTTGATCAAGCTTTTCCCCAAAGGGCCTGAATGCTTATTTCACTATGAGCTGTTTCTGTCAGAAGCGGCACCAAGCACAGGTGGTTTGTCTGCCAACTGCCCAGAGCTAAATGGATACATTTATTTAAAACAATTGCATAAGCTGGGTATACTGTAGGTGTAAATCATGTACAAACTACATGTGCAAGTTTGTGCAAATCATTTGCAAACTGAATCATCCAAAAAAAAAAAAAAAAAACTGAGCAGGGTTTTGATCTGCAAAACACCCTATTTTTGCCTTTATGAAACCAAGATGTTGGTAATGATGTGGGTGAAAGGCTGAACTGACAATACGCAGTTGCCAGGGAATGAACGTCTGCATTTTGCAAGAGTATGAAATCTCTAATTTCAACAGCAATCCCTATGGCCTACAGCGACATATGACCCCAACACCACACTTGGTCACTGGTATGGTTGGCGGTGAACACACTCACACGGACGCGTTTGCACACACACATGCACAGGAGGACCCTGCACTCGCCCCGGCGTGCACTCCCTCTTAGCAATCCCTCTTTTTTCCGATGGCCGTCGCGAGTAGCAGACGGTTTTGCCATCCCTCTCCCAAAATAGCCACCCGTTAGCACAGCCAGGTCAGATGGTTTTGAAACATCCATGGCAAACGGTGCTGGAGTGGAGGGGTGGAGGGGGCAACAAGTGCGTGACCACCTCTTGGAGAGCTCCAGAGAGGCGGTCATGGGTGGGCCTCAAGTGGAGGTTTCTTTCACACTTGGGTGACAATGAGTGCTGGGGAACAAACGAGAGCTGTCTAAGAAAAACTTGTGATGTGTGTGTGAATGCGTTTGCAAGCAACAGGTGGTGGGCATTTGATTCTTAACATTTTAACATATGGATAAGGAGAGCCAAAGTCATGGCGTCCCGGGTTCAATTTCCAGAGGACGACATTAGAAATTTTCTACTTTGTGATTTTAAAATTGCTGTTAAAGCATCAACACTTATAAACAAACGCAAGCAACAGTGGTTTCTAAGAAACATAACCAAAAAATCATTTGTGTTGAATTCATTTGTGTTTTCACAGAGTAATCAGAACCATGACAAAAGGGATTATGAACGTCGACTCAATAAAAAAAAAATTGCTGACAAATTTATAGGCAGTAGTGAGAAATCACATGCACCATCTGGTTTGACTGATGTTGTATTGAAAGTACTTTTAGCCATGCTAGTGCACACAATCTGCGGAGGAGTTGGCTAAAAGTTAAAATGATCTGGAGCCAGGCAAAGCAGAAGATAGATCTAATCGTCCTCTCTGTGTGTCTCTTTCACAGGCGGGCATTTTGCTTATTGATTCATCAGAGAAGTAGGCCGAAGCTTGACATAGCAACCCAACATGCAGTCTCCTAATGACTTAACCACATCAACTCTTTTTTCTTCTGTGCTGTTCACCCTCCCTCCATCTCTCCCTTCAGGCACCAACCGTGGCTAGAACACGGTGAGTCACGTTGGAACAAAAAGCCCCATTCAAAACACACACACACAC